AGGCTTAGTTTAAAATTATTTTTGTTAAGAAAACAATATGGACATGAGAAAAAACACCTTGGATGATACGAACATCTTGGAAAAATCCTAGTTATTTAGACACTATTAAGATTAGGGTAGAGCTTAGAAAAGGAAAGATAATATTCCCATATGGGATAATTTTTATGTTTAGGATTATTGTAAGGATAAAGAAGATAATTTAGGTTAAGAGTTTAGTATTATGACAAATCCCTAAATGACAGTTAATACTGTTTGAAATTTATGTTTATTGCTATTATTATAGTTATATGAAACTCAAGTTCAAAAAACCAAGACTTGAAAGTGCATGGCCCCAAGAAGAGAGGGAAGGGAAGTATCAAAAAACAACTCGAAGGATTGAAAGAGGGAACTTCCCTGGTGGTCCAGTGGTTAAGAGTCCACCTTCCAATGCAGGGGACACAGTTCCATTCCTGGTAGGGGAACTAGGTCCCACATGCCTCCAAGCAACTAAGCCCAGGTACCACCACTACTGCGCCTGCGTGCTCTAGAGCCAATGCTGCAGAACAAGAGAAGTCCGCCTGCTGCAACAGAGAACCACCTCAGGGCCCCTGCCCCCCTGATTACGGATTTAGAGAATAGCAGTGCCAGTGCGTCAGAAGTGAGGGCAGGATCTGGGACATTCAGTGCTCTGTGGCCCTTTCCTCCAGCCTTGTGCTCTAAACACAAATGCAGCCAACTTCTTCACAGCAGAAACCACTGCTGCTTCCCTGTCAATTTTCTACCCGTCTCTAGTCCCCCAGTCAATGCCAGCCCCTTCCTCAAGGCTTTGCCTTCCTGCCAGCTAGAAAGCAGGAGTACTTCCTCTGTGCGCTCACAATGTATTGATTGTCCTTTGAGTCTGAGCATGTTTGGGTGTCTGTCCCCTCCATTGGACTCCTTCAAGTGCCCTGCAATTAGTGGATGCCCAAGAAGCATTTATTGAAATAAAAGGGCACATGGTGAGTTTAAAATTTACCATAGTTAAATTTGTTTAGGTGGGTGTTGGGGATATTCCCCAAACCCTAGACGTGGGGGGAAAAAAGTAAATTTACTTTCTGTAAGTCCTGTTCCCTTAGGGTGACAGAAATTTAGGGGCATGCTCCCACTTTCCTTAGGACTGAGTGTAGGACCTGGAGGGCTCACAGCCGTCTTGTTCTCAGAATCCCATCTGCACAGCTCACAGCTGAGTTGTCTCTCATTCCTTGACTCTTCTCTACCTCTGGGGCACAAGGGAGCTCATCCCACCACCCTGGTGCCTTGGGGGCCAGCTGCTCAGATACTCACAGAGATATACCTGCTCTGTGCTGCGCTGTCTCTGGGGTCATCCAAAGGACAAGAGGACTGTCCTCTGCTCTCAGCCTCCCCAAACCCATCTGGGGTTTTCCTGTTTCCCAACACCACATCCCAGGCCAAGTTAGAAGAGGCCAGCGGGCGCAAGTCTCCTTTCTCAGGGAACTACCTGCTAGTGATTTTTATCACTGTCTTCCAACCCAGTCTGGACTTTTCCCCTCCTTCCAAAGCAGAAGATTGTCCTGTTGGCTCAAGAGTAGGTAAACTTGCTCTGATACATGCATCAGAATTTTTGATGTTATTGTTGTTGTTTTCTGTGCTCTAAGGGTCCCTTCAAGACCTGAACATTTTTTCTCCCTAAGCAACTTAAGAAAGTTTGTTTTCAAAGGAATAAATGAAAATTTCTCGTGATTAAGATGAGCAACTCCAATGCTTCTTTTCCTGTGACATCTAAGTTTTTTGATACCTACATATAACTGCTTTGTTTTATTATTTCTATACTGAGCAAATCTACATGTTGGTATTTATCCCAGGGGAATACTCACACTTGTCTGAAAGAGCTGAATCCAAGGATTTACAAAATACAAAATATTGGTGACAAGTTGAATTTCTGTTGATATGAGGACTACTTCAATAATTTATGAATAGCTACAATGGAATAACTTGCAGCTGTTAAAAGATTTGTTGGAACTTTGTGTACTGACATGGAAAAATATTCATAACATAGTTTTAAGCAAAATTTTGCTTTGTTTGATATTGTAAAAATAAAACTTTATGTATGAAGATATATCAATATCACCTTTTTGGTCCTAGGAGATTAAGTATAGATTTAATTTTCTGATGTGGACTTTCTATTTTTCCATATTTTTCTGTAATAAACACATATTACTTTGGGATAAGAAAAAAATTTATGTTGATACAGGTAAACACAAATAATAAAGAGTAAATAAAGGATCTCTAAATATTATTTTAATATTTTAATAACATTAATAGACAAAAATTGTAATTTCAATTCAAAATCAAACAGGAGTGCCTGTTACATCTTGTGAAAAATATATAACACTTGGAGAAGCCTATGTGTATGGTTTTAGAAACTGAAATCTATTATCATTAATTAAATAACAGGCCAAAAATGGCTTGAACTTTGAAGTGTCAAAAGTTTTTCCTCTACTAATTGAGGCATCGAATGTCCTCTGGTCTCAGTTCAGTTGCTCAGTTGTGTCCAACCCTTTGTGATCCCATGGACTGCAGCATGCCAGGCTTCCCTGTCTGTCACCTGCTCCCAGATCTGGCTCAGACTCATGTCCATTGAGTTGGTGATGCCATCCAGCCATCTCATCATCTATCGTCCCCTTCTCCTCCTGCCTTCAATCTTTCCCAGCATGAGGGTCTTTTCCAATGAGTCAGCCCTTCACGTCAGGTGGCCAAAGTATTAGAGCTTCAGCATCACTCCTGCCAATGAATATTCAGGATTGATTTCCTTTAGGATTGACTGCTTGGATCTCCTTGCAGTCCAAAGGACTCAAGAGTCTTCTTCAATACCACAGTTCAAAAGCATCAATTCTTCGGCACTCAGCTTTCTTTATGGTACAACTCTCACATCCAAACATGAACAGTGGAAAACCATAGCTTTGACTATACAGAACTTTGTCGGCAAAGTAACATCTCTGCTTTTTAATATGCTCTCTAGGTTTGTCATAGCCTTCCTTCCAAGGAGCAAGTGTCTTTTTATTTCATGGCTGCAGTCATTCTGGTACCCAAGAAAATAAAGTCTGTCACTCTTTCTACTGTTTCCCCATCTATTTGCCATGAAATAGACATCTATTCATCTTCTGGTATAGCTGCCTGATTAAGGGAAGAGTTGGGGAGGGTGGTAATGGGAAACAGTTGGGTATTCAGTTCAGTTCAGTTGCTCAGTCTTGTCCGACTCTTTGTGACCCCATGAATCGCAACACATCAGGCCTCCCTGTCGATCACCAACTCCCAGAGTTTACCCAAACTCATGTACATTGAGTCAGTGATGCCATCTAGCCATCTCATCCTCTGTCGTCCCTTTCTCCTTCTGCCCCCAATCCCTCCCAGCATCAGGGTCTTTTCCAATGAGTCAACTCTTCGCATGAGGTGGCCAAAGTATTGCAGTTTCAGCTTCAACATCAGTCCTTCCAATGAACACCCAGGACTGATCTCCTTCAGGATGGACTGGTTGGATCTCCTTGCAGCCCAAGGAACTCTCAAGAGTCTTCTCCAACACCACAGTTCAAAAACATCAATTCTTTGGCGCTCAGCTTTCTTCACAGTCCAATTCTCACATCCATACATGACCACTGGAAAAACGATAGCCTTGACTAGATGAACCTTTGTTGGCAAAGTAATGTCTCTGCTTTTTAATATGCTATCTAGGTTGGTCATAACCTTCCTTCCAAGGAGTAAGTGTCTTTTAATTTCATGGCTGCAATCACCATCTGCAGTGATTTTGGAGCCCCCCCCAAAAAGTCTGACAGTTTCCACTGTTTCCCCATCTATTTCCCATGAAGTTATGGGACCAGATGCCATGATCTTAGTTTTCTGAATGTTGAGCTTTAAGCCAACTTTTTCACTCTCCTCTTTCACTTTCATCAAGAGGCTTTTTAGTTCCTCTTCACTTTCTGCCATAAGGGTGGTATCATCTGCATATCTGAGGTTATTGATGTTTCTCCCGACAATCTTGTTTCCAGCTTGTGCTTCTTCCAGCCCAGCATTTCTCATGATGTACTCTGCATATAAGTTAAATAAGCAGGGTGACAATATACAGCCTTGACGTACTCCTTTTCCTATTTGGAACCAGTCTGTCGGTCCATGTCCAGTTCTAACTGTTGCTTCCTGACCTGCATACAGGTTTCTCAAGAGGCAGTCAGGTGGTCTGGTATTCCCATCTCTTTCAGAATTTTCCAGTTTATTGTGATCCACACAGTCAAAGGCTTTGGCATAGTCAATAAAGCAGAAATAGATGTTTTTCTGGACCTCTCTTGCTTTTTTGATGATCCAGCAGATGTTGGCAATTTGATCTCTGGTTCCTCTGCCTTTTCTAAAACCAGCTTGAACATCTGGAAGTTCATGGTTCAAGTATTGCTGAAGCATGGCTTGGAGAATTTTGAGCATTACTTTACTGGCATGTGAGATGAGTGCAATTATGCGGTAGTTTGAGTATTCTTTGGCATTGCCTTTCTTTGGGATTGGAATGAAAACTGACTTTTCCAATCCTGTGGCCACTGCTAAGTTTTCCAAATTTGCTGGCATATTGAGTGTGGCACTTTCACAGCATCATTATTCAGGATTTGAAATAGTTCAACTGGAATTCCATCACCTCCACTAGCTTTGTTCGTAATGATGCTACGGAAGAAGGGAAAAGTGGTGGTGGGGGGGTGGTAATGGGAAATAGTGGGGTATAGGAATCTTAAATATTTCAACTACAAAGGTATCTGGCCATATGGTAGAGAAAAGAGAAGAGGAAATGCAGATTAGGGAATAAAAATAGTGTGGTGATAACAGAAGCTGAGAATGAATCCATTTTCTCCATGTGTGTCTAAGGGGAAAAAAGAAATCAATCAAGTCATTTTTTGAATTAAGCACTGTGCTAATTACCCCTAAGGGACAGACAGGAAACTTGCAATTCACTTATAAGAACCTTTCCGCATTGTGGTCTCTTTTCTTACCTCTGCCTCCCTTGCTTTTCAGCTCTTAGTCTCTGCCAGGATATTCCCTGAGGCTGGAACGCCTGTGAGGCTGTCTCGCTCCTCATCCCCAGCCCGCCAACTGATCCTTTAAGAAGATCAAATGTCTTCTCTTGAAAGCTTTCCTGCAGCCAGACGGCAGCACTGTTCTCCTGGAGCTCGCTCCTGGTCTGCATTGTCCCAGCAATCAGTGACCTGTGAAATAGTTGAGGGCAAAGTCTAACTCTACGCTTAGCACCTGGCATAGTGTTTGGCACATGGTGGATACTCATGAAGTATGCATGGACGGAATGGGGAAATTACTCATACATTCAAAGCCATGATACAACAATAATGATGTCTGAGCAGTTAATAATAGTAATAGCCAACATTTGCTCTCTGCTTCAGATACTATTCTCAGCACTCTATCTTCACAGTCTTATTTAATCTAAGCTACAGCTCTGTGAAAAAAGCATGATTTGTATTTCCATCAACAGATGAAAACACTGAGAACCAGAGAGGTCAAGTTATCTGCTTGGGTTTTTTTGTTAACATAGCAAAATTAATGTGCTTTTTTTCTTAACATGGAAAAATGCGCTCACTTTACTTTTTGAATTTTTTTTTGTATTGGAGTATAGTCAGTTAACAATATTGTGATAGTTTCAGGTGCACAGCAAAGAAACTCAGCCATACATATACATGTATCCATTCTCCCCCAGGTGGCGCAACGGTAAAGAATCCACCTGCCAATGCAGGAGACACAAAAAACAAGGGTTTGATTCTGGGTTTGGGAAGATCCCCTGGAGTAGGAAATGGCAACCTGCTCCAGTATCCTTAACTAGAAAATTTCATGGACAGAGGAACCTGGCGGGCTACAGTCCATGGGGTCGCAAAGAGTTGGACACAACTGAGTGACAGGGCGCACATTCCCCCCAAACTCCCCTTCCATTCAGGCTGCCATATGACATCAGGCAGAGTTCCCCGTGCTATACAATAGGTACAGGCAGGCTTCTTAATTCCTCTGGATTCCAGTCTCCTCAGAGGTGAATGAGGGCACTCGATGCTGTGATTTACAAGATCACCTTCAGTTTGGAAAATCTGTGACTTAATAGTCAGAGATGTGATTAAAATGCAAGGCATGTACATAGTGGAATAATGACAGATGGCTTAGCCTTTCTTTCCCTTTTTTAAGGCTGTATGACTTGATGCTGACTTGTACCAGTGAGATTCTGCTAAGGATACACACTCTGAGATAGTCTGAGGCCCCACACCTTCCTGGACACAGGCCAGGCCTGCTCCGGTGGCTCAGAGCAGAGGTGGAGCCCTCTGAGATGACAAATCGCAGAAGATCACCAGGGCTAGAAAGGGTATGGGGTGAAGAAGGGGATGGGTAGAGAGAGACCCATCTCTGCCTCCGTTCGTCCCCTTGGTGTGCACACATCCAGTTAGTGAGTCTCACCTGCCACACAGCTTGTGTCTGTCTCTCCTTCCCATAGTTTCCATCTAGTTTGGGTTTCAAGAACTTCTCTGATGTACTTCAGTAACCTCCCTCAGCATCTCTCCTCTTTCTAATTCACCTTACAGCAAGATGTCAAATTTATTACATTCATCACAGTCTGGTCCCACAACTCCAGGCCCGCATGCCGCTTTCAGTCCCTCCCCATTCTTTTTTTTTTTAATTGGCAGATAATTGCTTTACAATATTGTATTGGTTTCTGCCATATATCAACATGAATCAGCCATAGGTGTACATAAGTCCCCTCTCTCTTAAACCTCCCTCCCACTCCTCTAGGCTGTCACAGAGCACTGAGTTGAGCTCCCTGCATCCTACAGCAAATTTCCACTGGCTATCTATTTTACATATGGTAATGTATATGCTTTCATGCTATTCTCTCAATTCATCCCACCCTCTCCTTTCCCCCTTTTGTCCACAAGTCTGTTCTCTATGTCTGCATGCCCATTCTTCATGCCCATTCTTCATGTTCTGGTTCTAAACTCTGCATTTTCATTTCCATCCACTTATAAGAAAACCACCACAACACTATCTGTGTCTGTTGAAATCAGACCCAGTTCAACATCATTTGCTTTTCGAAAGCTTTCCTAAATATTCACAAGCTTAAATTCCCATAGCATTTCCCGGTGCCTCTGCTTTAGCAGATCACAACCAAACTTGTACTTAACATTAGTTTTGTAAATTTGCTTCTGGTTGTTTGTGACTTCCAGGACAGAGGAATCCCATGTTTTCACATTTCTCACCAGGGCTGGTACCAATCTTTTACCCAGTGGGCACTTTGTAGCTTTGACTATGTGAAAGAATGTAGAAATAGTCTAGGCTATGTTCATCAGAGTTGAACAACAGGAGCCAACACTGTCTATCTTAAACTAAGGACAAGAACGTATAGGGTCTGTCTTGCTGAAAGCCAGATGTCAGTGCCAAGTAAAAGGAAACTGGCAGTGGTTGCTGTAGAGTTTCCTGCTTTGGGCTTCTACTCTGATTACTAGTGTTTCTCTGTATCCTACTGTGTATCTCTTCAATTTTGGGGTCAAGAGTTTGCCCTGTGACCTCAGTTCTCTGATGGATTTAAGAAGACATTTATTTTCCATCTGTTCAGGATTTTTCTTTTTTGTGTGGATGGAAGAGACAACTCCTTACACATGGGACAGGAGACTGGAAGTGTCTGTAGGGTCTATTTTGGAATAAGAAAGAATCACATGATAGGTTCATTTGTGTCATATTTTAGATTCCACACGTAAATGATAGGACATAGTACTTGTCTTTCTCTTTCTGACTTACTTCACTTAGCACGATAATCTCTAGTTGCATTCACATTGCTGCAAATAGCATTATTTTGTTCTTTTTTATGGCTGAGTATTATCCCACTGAATATATGTACCACAAAGGAACACATCTGTGAAAACAGAAACAGACTCACATAGAACAAACTTGTAGTTGCCAAGGGGGAGACAGTCGGGGAAGGGATGGAGTGGAAGGTTAGCAGATGTAAGCTATTATATAGAGAGACAATAGAATGGATAAACAACAAGGTTTTACTATATAACACAGGGAACTATATTCAATACTCTATGATAAACCAAAATGTGAAAGAATTTTTAAAAAGAATGTATATATACATATACGTGTAACTGAATCACATTTCTGTATAGCAGAAATTAACACAAAACTGTAAATCAACTATACTTCAATTTTTAAAAATTAAAAAAGAAAGAAAGAATCAGATGAAAGAAAGGAAAGGACCCAGGACATCTCTGGGTGCTTGTGCAGTAGACATTGATCTTTTAGGTGTCCTTCCACTGACACGACTTAGCCTCAACAAGGCCCAGGATCCCTCATCTCTCCCTTCCATACTTCATGTCCCAAGGAGGAATTAGCACACCTATGGCCAAGGTCACTGGGTCACATAGTAAGGATGTGGCCTCCGGGGCCCAGGCCTGTGGGGTAGGGTTGCCTCTCAAAGGAGAAGGAGTCTGTGAACTGTGCAGAATCACAAGCAGCACCTACCTCACAGTCAGAAGTCCCTGTTTGGAAAGTCTGGCAGAAAGAGGAAGGATAAATTCACCTCTAGAAAAGGCAAATATTGGGTAAGAAAATAGTTATTGACCAACCCCTATTAAGTTGGAGAATGAAAACATGTATTTATTTTAAAAATAAAAATGTTGCTCTCATTCTTAGTAGTCTGTTTTATCTTGTAGACTGTACAGGTAGAGGCTGGAGGGGAAAAAGGATATACAGCAAAGAAGCCGATCTTAAACCCACTGCTGATTTGAATCATATAATTGAAGAGTCAGTTGCAATGGAAAGAGAAAATTTCTGTAAATTCCAGGGACTGTTCTCTTTTCATGTTGGTGGAAACTTAAAGACTCTGGTGCTGGGAAATATTGAAGGCAGGAGGAGAAGGGGATGACAGAGAATGAGATGGTTGGATATCATCACCGACTCTATGGGGATGAGTTTGAGCAAGCTCCAGGAGTTGGTGATGGACAGGGAAGCCTGGCAAGCTGCAGTCCATGGGATCACAAAGAGTCGGACACAAATAAGCGACTGAACTGAGCTGAGGATGTGACTGAAGATAAGTTGGTCAGCAGGATAAACGAGTGGGAAGAGAGGGTCAAGTAAGGTGTGTGTGATGGGGTGGAGGGGCACATCCTTGGGGACTGGGACATGGTTCTAGCTATCATGGCAGCTTCTGAAAGACAGGCTCACTGCAGGCAGGATTTTGTGGAGTAAAGAAGGGGTCAGGACTAAAGTTGGGGTAGGTGGTTATTATGTGTTCAAGCAGAGGAAGGACATCGCCCTCCCTTTGGGGCCATGGTGAAGATAACAGTTTGGCTGCAAGGCAGACAACATGGACCCCAGAAAAGTGGGGCAGGGATGATCCCATACCAACAGCCTAACACTTTAGTGTATGGTCTCTTCTCTGATGAGCATTGTTCCTGTATCAGTTTCCCAGGATTGCTGTAACAAGGTGTCACAAACTATGAGGTTTAAACAACAGAAATTCATTGCCTCCCAGTCTGGAAGCTGGAACTCTGAAACTAGGGAGTTGGCAGGGTTTGTTCCTCCTAAGGGCTCTAGCTTCTGCTGGTTTGCTGACAGTCTTTGGTGTTCCTAGCTTGTAGGTTCATCACTCCAATTTCTGCCTTCACCTTCATATGGTGTTTTCCCTGTGACTTCACACAGCCCTCTTCTTATAAGGACACTAATGCAGGAGACATGGGCTCAATCCCGGGGGAAGAGTCACTGGAGGAGGAAATAACAACCCACTCCAGTATTCCTGCCTGGGAAATCCCATGGACAAATAAGCCTGGCATGTTACAGTCCATATGGCCAAAAAAGAGTCAGACACGATTTAGTGACTACACAATGACAACAATAATAATGGACTGGGGTCCTTCCTACTCTAGTATGACACCATCCTAATTTTTTTTTAAATCATTTTTGGTCATGCTATGTGGCATGCGGAACTCCCCTGACCAGGGCTCAAACTTGTGCCCCACACATTGTAAGCACAGAGTCTTAACTACTGGACCACCAGGGAAGTCCTGACACAATCCTAATTAATTACATCTGGAACCACACTATTTACATATAAGATCACACCCTGAGTTACTGGACTATATTCTGAGTCACATACTTGTTTTAGGGGGACACTATTCAACCATTTACAATTTCCTTCTT